CCTCCACCCTCTCCCGCCCCCGCCCCCGCCCCAGGCTCCCCGGCCGGTGGTCCTTCGCCATTCGCTACCCAAGGTGAGAGGGGCCCGCGAGGTGGCGGGCGCGACCCGCTATCACGCGACTGGGGAGGGGTGAAGAGGGCCCCGGCTGGCCAAGCGACTCGGCGAGTCCCTCACTTTTGAGGAGCTCTGACGGCCGCGGCGAGTTTTGCAGCTCCCCGCTGCCTCCGCGTAGCTTTGTCCGGGTGCATACGATCCGGATCGGCTCGTGTACACCCGGGTTAGGCGAGCCGGAGCGGGGGAGGGAGGGATGGAGATGAAGTGATGGGGAGTTTCTTTGATGATTGATTGCAGATTGGTTGCCGTCTGTTTCGAATCTTGTGCGTTCGGAGCTCTTTACCTTAATGAGTTCCCTCTCCCTAGCCTCTCCGTTGGGGACAAAGGAACCGGGAGAAGGAGTTTTGCTGTCTGCTGCTTTCGGAGATTTTATTTTGAGCGGCACGATAAAGGGCAGAAAGTAAATAGACTTCCAAAGTGTTTTGTACGCAGTAGTTGGAAGTTACTTTCTCTTTTGTGGTGTTATTGGGTAATTAGTTTTTGACAGGTAGTTCCCATTGCTTATGTTAACAGGTTTAAAGCATTTAAAGTAACAGTCATTTCTGGGAGACCGCTTGAAGTTTTTAACGCTGCAATTATTTGGGCAAATTGACGTCTTTTAAAAATACGAAATAACTGCGGAAGAGAAATCTGTTTCTCTTCGTGGTTTTTGGTTTGTTGGTGTATGTGTTTTGTTTGGCTTATGTAGTGACCCAGACTTGTTCACAACTAGCAATCTTCCCGCCTCAGCCTCTCCAGAGTGAGGGTCATCACTGGCATGAGCCATCACACCTGGTGGCCAGTCACTTTTAGCATGTTTTAAGGGGAGTAGTAACTGTTTTGAGTTGATATGTTAACTAATTACACTAGGTTGATGCGATTGAGGGCTTGGATTGTTGTCTTAGATTCACTTAGCTGTATGTTGTCTTTAGTCATAGGAAACTATTTTCCATGCGTCTCTATTGTTATGGGGAGTCCACTGGATACCACTCAGAAGTAATGTATAGCCAATTCAAAGTTTTTATTCCAGTTGGCTGGGACTACACCTATTCAGGGTACAAATGCAACATGGCAGTTCTCAACCTGTGGGACATGACCCCTGGGTCTAACTACCCTTTCACTGGGGTCGCATATCAGATATTTACATTACAGTTCATAACTGTAGCAAACTTACAGTTATGATGTAGCAACAAAAATAATTTTATGGTTAGGGGCTAGTCACCACAACATAATGAACTGTATATTAAAGGGTCATAGCATTAGGAAGGTTGAAAACCACTGCTATATATATTTTAGAGCAAGGAGCTTTTTTTTTGGGGGGTGGGGTGGGGAAGGTTTCGAGACAGGGTTTCTCCGTAGCTTTGGAGCCTGTCCTGGACTAGCTCTGTAGACCAGGCTGGCCTCAAACTCACAGAGATCCACCTGCCTCTGCCTCCCGAGTGCTGGGATTACAGGCGTGCGCCACCACTGCCCGGCAGAGCTTTTTTTTTTTTTAATTAATTTTTTTTTATTCATTTTACTTACCGACCACAGATCCCCCTCTCATCCCTCCTCCCGCTACACCCCACCCTCAACCCCATCCCCCTGCCTTCCACTCCCTCAACCCTCCTCCCCTCCTCCAGCAAGGTAAGTTCTCCCATGGTGGGGGGACACTAAGCCTTCAGTTGAGGCAGGACCAGGCCCCTTCCCACTTTATCAGGAGTGAGCAAGGTGTCCAGAAAACCAGCTCATACACGGGGGATAGATCCTGATCACACTGTGTGTCAGGGGCCCCTCAGACTCAGCTATACAACTGTCTCCTGTGCCAAGTGTCTAGTCCGTCTATGCAGGTTCCACAGCTATTGCACTAAAGTGTATCTGAGTTCCTTTGAGCTTAGCTCAGTTGTCTCTGTAGATTTCCCCATCATGATCTTGACCCCCCCCCCCATATAATCCCTCTTCTCTCAATTTGACTGGCCTCCCGGAGCTCAGCCTGGTGCATGGTTGTGGATCTCTGCATCTGCTTTTATCAGTTACTGGATGAAGGCTCTATAATGACAGGGTATTCACCAATCTGATTACCAGGGTAGGCCCGTTTAGGCACCCTCACCATTGTTGCTAGTAGTCTAATTTGGAGTCGTCCTTGTGGATTCCTAAGAATTTCCCTAGCACCAGGTTTCTTTCTTACCCCATAATGTCTCCCTCTATCAAGATATCTCTTTCATTGCTCTCCCACTCTGTCCCTCCCCCCAGCTCAACTATCCCATTCCCTCATGTTCTTATTCCCCATCCCCTCCCCTGTATTGCCCACCCCCCATCCCCAGTTTACTCATTGGGATCTCCTCTGTTTCCCCTTCCCAAGGTGATCCGTACATCCCTCTTAGGGTCCTCCTTGTTTCCTAGCTTCTTTGAGCTATGCGTTGTAGTCTGATTATGAGCAAGGAGCTTTGTTTGTTGTTTGTTTTGTTTTTTTGTTTTTTGTTTTTTCGAGGCAGGGTTTCTCTGTGTACCTTTGCGCCTTTCCTGGAACTTGTTTTGTAGACCAGACTGGCCTTGAACTCACAGAGATCTGCCTGCCTCTGCCTCCCCAGTGCTGGGATTAAAGGCGTGCACCACTACCGCCCGAGAGCAAGGAGCTTTTAAAGGCAAAAAAACCACCTTGGCTGGTGGTTGCAAGGAGGAGTGGTTGTACAAACAAGCAGTTTAACAGAAGCTAAGATAAGCAGTTAGCTGGAGGAGGAGGTTTGCACAAGCAGGCAGTTTAACAGAAGTCAATATAAATTAGTTGAGCATTTTGTCCTCATGTTCTTAGAATAGAGTTTGGTAATTTTCCACAAGATTCTCCAGTCAAACCTAAAGTGGCCTCAGCAAAAATACAAGCTAGAGAAACCTGTGCACTATCTTGCCCTGTCATATTCTCTAATTGGTTCCATGGGCATGAGACGAAACATTGACTTGTCCTGTTCTGGGGGACATGATTGGTCCTAAGGACCAGTAGCTTAACTAAGTTTATTCTCTGATATATTGGCCATGAAGTTGAGGATGCAGGGCCCCATAGTTAGCTGGATCAGGATTAAGAATCAGGCTAATGCTGACAGTAGGGTGACCGGCCATGGGGACCAGATAAACGGCCTGATGCCAACTCTCTGATCTATGTCTCCTTTCTTCCTTTTCTTTAATGTTTTCCCTGACCATGGCAAGGTTTTCCTAATTACTGATTGGTTGGCACAGAAATAGCAAGTTTCTCTTAAGGCCATGCCAAGTCTTATCTGTTTCATTAAAAAAAAAAAAAAAAAAGTAGATCTAGCCTCCTTCAATTGTGTAAGACTACCTCTGTAAGGGAGTCAACTTGGCTCTCCAGCCTAGAAGTAGAACTCCCCAAATGGCCTAGGTCTGAGTGTATCTGGGAACTGAGTTCCCTAAAGTTTTGATTCCCAACAATCAAGGCTGAGGTGCCTATGGCAGCTGCACTGGCTATTCCTGTCCCTACTAGAGATCGGGGCTAGAATTGGGGCCTGTTTGAGACAAGGCCAGGAGCTTCCCCCTCTTCTCCATTGTAGGCATGTACGTAAAAGATAACCATTAGTACAAGCTAGGTAGCAAGCCAGGTAGGTAGCTTCAGGGGCATGAAAGAATATGCAGTCTTTTAGGCTAATTTGGTTTGTTGGGCATTTGAGGAAGCCTTATTGTAAGGTGAAGAAGCAAGATTATAATTTGAGGACAATATGCAGGTACGTTGTCCTGGGCAGGGTAACTCGCCATTGGCAGCCTGATTTCAATAAAGTCCAACTCCAAATGTTCCCCAGGCCTATTTCCTCAAGCCTGGATTCTTTGTGGGATCATCTCCCTTTGAGGTTTACCTGAGTACAGATGGCACATCTAAAGGTGTGGTGTCTTTATAGTAAAGCTTTCAAATTTGGAACATAATACCTGGATCTGGAGCGCCACAGCTTTCGTGGCTCTTAGGTGGGTAGCTTGGTGGAGGTCATAACCCATCACCTTCCTAGACTCATGAGAAGGATGGATCTGCCATCCAGCAGCATCTACTACCACCATCCTTTATCCTGTATGGCTAGTTCTTGTTTTTGCAGTCAGTCTCCTGGCATGCATTATGAGTGGTCTGGTAAGCTGGGCTCCGGCAGAGCTTCTAAGACTTGGTGAGGCCCCACTAGTTCTAGGACTACTTCCTGGGCAGCCAAGTCAGCCGCTCTATATTACCTCTGGTTTCTGGGGAATCCCCTTTGTGGTATCCTTTGCCATGGACAATGGCTACACTCTTGCATAACCAGAGAGCTTCTAATAGGGCTAAGATTTCTTCTCTGTTTCTGATTACTTTTTCTGCTGAGGTTAAAAGGTTCTCTTTTCCCTGTGTAGAGCCCTATGGATCTGGGCCATGGTGAAAGAATATTGCCCATCAGTGTATATGGGGACAGCATAGTCTTTCCGCCAGCAGAATGCTTGGGTCAAAGCTAAAAGCTCAGCTTGTTGAGCTGAGGTTCTCCTGATTAAAGATTGTGCCTAGATAGTCTTATCTTAGGTCACTACTGCTATTCCTGCATACCTGATACCATCTTTTTTTTTTTTTTTTT